TCAGCATGTTTTGCTCCTTAAGGATTTAGTAAATAATATTGTGCATGTGCTCCTCGAGCTCAGAGGAAGTTGGAACGCAGCAAGACGGAAGGAACAGCGGAGGCTATAGGCTGTACTTTGCGCAGGAGCGCGGCGGGGTGGTGACGGAGGATGTGGGATTTCAGGGTAACAGGAGAAGCATCACAAGTGACGTTTAGACGCTGTCATTGGACAACATGTGGTAATTTATAAATGTTTTAAATCAGGTTGGGTCCGGATTAGCCAGCGGGTGGATCCGGACCACGCTCTGTTAATCCATGACCTCTGATCTACAAATTTCCAACAGGAAAGTTAATGCAAAAAACATCCATATATTTTTAAATAAAGACAAACTTAACTTTCCCACAGCCTTTGCTAACAAAAAGATGCATATATTTAAACATCCATGCTTTTTAGATAAAAGGTATAGAGGATACAATTCTTTCAGGTTTGAGTTCTGGGGCGAACATCTTTTCGACTGTCATTGCTTACCTACTTTTATCAATAATCATCCTGCATAAAACTGATATTTATAAGTACTAATATCTACATAAATTGATTCTTTAATACATTTTTATTAAAATAGTCATTTATCTATGATTTCACTAAAGACTCCTAGATGAATGCAGAGGCACAATTTTCTCTTTACCCCATAAAACACAAAATCTAGTTCTGAAAAGAGCAGGAATTCTGTACCTATCATCTTTAATGTTAGCATATTGATGTGCATGATTAACCACCGTGTTTTTGCTATCAAGTAATTATGAATATATTTAAAAAAATTGTTAGTTATTTTTTGGAAATTTTAATTTTTTTGATTTTATTCTTATTTTTTGTTTTTTGGGGGGGAAAATGGTAGAGGTGGCCTGCAATTGGCTGAGGGTGGCCATGGCCACCCCTGGCCCCCCATCTAGCTCCACCCCTGTACATAATGTATTTAAAAGCTTCTCTCAGATATAGTTTGGACCACACTGTGCATGTTGATCGTCTTATTTTCTCAGTGCCTTTCAATATTATTTATAGCCCTTTAACTTTCTATTATGCTTTCTTTTCTGCAGCTACAAACATTGAAGTATTTAACGTTTTAATGAATGTAACATTATTATATATTATTTTTATATATATATATTTTTTTAGAAAAGTGTGTCATAGATTTTTATTCCACTATTTAATAAACATAGCCCATCTGTGGGTACCTGTATTACACTATGAACCAAGGCCACAGTTTACAGGTCAGATGTTTACTTAATTAACATTCTGCTGTTAGCAGAACATCTACTAATTGTACGCTTTGCAAATGGTGCAGTACTAAAGAAAACTGTCTAAATACTTCAACATGTCATTCAGATGAAACAGGAAACCTGTGTAAAAATGTGATCCGGTCAGAAACACAGTGGTAGCAACATCATGCTGTGGGGTGTGTTTTTCTCTGCTTCTTACAACCCTACACCTCTGAGCTAAAATAAGCACAAAAAAAAAGACTTAAATAAGTTAAATTTCCCTTGACTTGTCTTGCCTAATATATAAAAAAACAATAACCTTATATTTTCATATCTGCAGCATGGGAAGGCAGAATAGGATAGCCTGGTTAAAAAGAGAGATGGAGCAAGAGATGTAAAATACCTTGTGTGAACTTATCCCACTAATGGTCTCTAGATGTGCACTGTTGGTAAATGCATCACCCAGAAGACTAGAAGCTGATGTTTTTAGACTATTCCCATCCTGGTCGGTAGGATTTTGGATGAGGAAGACTGATTTCTTTATGGAATTTCTTCATCAAGCAGAATCGGTTTTTAACTAAGCGCATTTAGTGATACAGAGGCTTCTTGGCTACCTCAAAGAAAAAAAACACCATTTGATGAGTCATTTTATCCCATAGCTGTTAGACCAATGTAATGGAAAAATAACTGAATAATTGCCTTTTAGACACAGAGAAGAAAACAAAGGATAAACTGTAAAAATAGACTATTTCCAGTCTAATTTCTGCTTAGAAATCTGATTGCTTCTTATCTTGGAATAAGGCTCTTTAGTTTGAGGTTTTAAAGTGAAAAAAAAAAGTCAAGTTTTCCAGGGAAATAGTAGAAAATGAAGCTGAAGGCAGAAAGACTTTCTTTCGCCATTTCCAGAAAACATGCTGTACCTGCACCAAATTGCTTCTTTTGTCAAGGTGTGATATAAAAAAAAAAAAAACTCACCAGACCTGCCAAAGATACACATCCATTCATGAAATTAACTGGGTTCCTTCATCCTCCCATTTCTCTTAGATATATGTGATGAAATGAGGCTTTTTCCTTTCTACAATTTACCTTTTGCACATTTCACCAAGTTATTTTCATAAACCCTCTAAGAGATATTCAATATTTGGGTCATTAATAATATCTATTTTAGTAATGATATTTTGTTGAAAAAGGTTCTGGAGTTGAAAATATCTGAAAAACCTCAGTTATTAAAGTGATAATATGTCTTTAACCTTATAAAATCTTTCCATTATTAGTAAGTAAAAAATTAACTCCTTTTAAAACCCATTGTTTAAATGTTCCAACTATTAGATCAGGTCCAAACTCATGATCAAATGCACACAATTGAATTTTCTTTTTTTTTTATCCTGTTTATATGTCCTCTCTTACCAACCCTCATATTTTTTATTGATTGATGACATGCAGGTTTTGGATCTTCTTTATATATTTATCCAAATCTTATGAGCTATAATTTATTGGGGAATCCTTTTACTGCGTGATCCAAATATTCTTCCATTTAGGAGGAAACTTTGATGAGTATATCATAATCTACATATATATACATATAATAACAGGCCGTTAACATAAGCTGTCTCAGCATTACATTCTGTTTGAAAGGACCAAGTAGTCACACAAAAAACAGGGGTACTTTCTGTCAGGGTTTGATTAAGGTTTTGAGGACCCAAATGCAGAGGCGAGGAGGCAGAGGTGAGTTCTTGAGGATTTTATTGAATAAATGAGGCCAAAAATCTAAGTACAAATACATGGAACCAAAAACCAGACAACTTTATGGGAAAACTCACATGGGGGGCCAGGAAAAGACGAGGAACCAGCACTAAGGAACTGCACAGGAAGAATATATATGGGAGCCTGAACAAAGACTGGACTAATGAGCTGATTGGGAGCAGGTGTGAACAGAGGAATCTAGAAGGAGCTAGGGAAAAGGAGACCAACACAAGAGGGCAACAGAGGGCCACCAATAAATACCTAAGAACTCAAATATATTCAGAAAACACAACAAAATAGGAATTAAACCAATAAAACTAAAAAACTAAAAAAAAAATGGATCAAAGTGAAACCGAATACTCAAAGGAAAACTTAACAGAACCAAAACCGTGACACTTTCTATTTTCTACGTTAAAAAGTCAATTCCAACAGTTGCTTCTTTACTGGCTTTATATATCAGGGAGACAAAGTAGTAAAATGTAAATACAATTATTCTTTTAGAAATAGTTTCAAAGAATCCATATTGTTTAGAGTATTCTTATCAGTAAACTAATAAGTATTCGATGACAACATTTCTAATTCGGGTCCAAGAAGCCTTTTTAGGCCAAAAATTG